TCTGCCAGCGCCCCGCAGCCCTGACCCACAGCCTCCCTGTCCCCCCAGCTCTGCCGGTGCCCCTCAGCCCTGACCCACAGCCACCCTGTGCCCCCAGCTCTGCCGGTGCCCCTCAGCCCGGACCCACAGCCACCCTGTGCCCCCAGCTCTGCCAGTGCCCCTCGGCCCTGACCCACAACCCCCCGCACTGGGCGGCTGTGCTGGCGTGTGCAAACCCCACACTGGCGAGGACGGGGTTAAGCTCTGGGCCCAGGTGGAGGGGGCCCTGATTCGCGAGCCTGGGGTGGGTCCCTACCTGGATGTCCCTCCCCAAGGGGAGCCGCCGGCCGCCCCCTGCTCCTCATACAGCTCCACCCGGTCAAAGAGGCACCAGCGGGTGCAGCTGCAGGGCCAGCCCCTCCGCCACCTGGATGCGCCAGATGCACAGGGTGTTGGGCGGGTAGGGGGCGGGGTACCCGGGGGAGCTGAAGGAGCCCTCGGGGCCTTGCAGGGTCCCCCCACAGGCTGCACGGGGAGACAAGACACACGGGAGAGGGAGGGTTACGGTGGGTGGCGCCAAATGGGGTTCCTCCCCCACATCACCCACATGCCCCCAGCCCAGGAGAGAGGGGGAGCTGTGGGGTGGGGGGGCCCTCTCTTGCCCCCAGCCCAGGAGAGAGGGGGAGCTGTGGGGTGGGGGCCCCTCTCTGTGCCCCCAGCCCAGGAGAGCGGGGGAGCTGTGGGGTGGGGGCCCCTCTCTGTGCCCCCAGCCCAGGAGAGCGGGGGAGCTGTGGGGTGGGGGCCCCTCTCTGTGCCCCCAGCCCAGGAGAGCGGGGGAGCTGTGGGGTGGGGGCCCCTCTCTGTGCCCCCAGCCCAGGAGAGCGGGGGAGCTGTGGGGTGGGGGCCCCTCTCTGTGCCCCCAGCCCAGGAGAGCGGGGGAGCTGTGGGGTGGGGGCCCCTCTCTGTGCCCCCAGCCCAGGAGAGCGGGGGAGATGTGGGGTGGGGGCCCCTCCCTGTGCCCCCAGCCCAGGAGAGAGGGGGAGCTGTGGGGTGGGGGCCCCTCTCTGTGCCCCCAGCCCAGGAGAGCGGGGGAGATGTGGGGTGGGGGCCCCTCTCTGTGCCCCCAGCCCAGGAGAGCGGGGGAGATGTGGGGTGGGGGCCCCTCTCTGTGCCCCCAGCCCAGGAGAGCGGGGGAGATGTGGGGTGGGGGCCCCTCTCTGTGCCCCCAGCCCAGGAGAGCGGGGGAGATGTGGGGTGGGGGCCCCTCTCTGTGCCCCCAGCCCAGGAGAGCGGGGGAGCTGTGGGGTGGGGGCCCCTCTCTGTGCCCCCAGCCCAGGAGAGAGGGGGAGCTGTGGGGTGGGGGCCCCTCTCTGTGCCCCCAGCCCAGGAGAGCGGGGGAGATGTGGGGTGGGGGCCCCTCTCTGTGCCCCCAGCCCAGGAGAGCGGGGGAGATGTGGGGTGGGGGCCCCTCTCTGTGCCCCCAGCCCAGGAGAGCGGGGGAGATGTGGGGTGGGGGCCCCTCTCTGTGCCCCCAGCCCAGGAGAGCGGGGGAGATGTGGGGTGGGGGCCCCTCTCTGTGCCCCCAGCCCAGGAGAGCGGGGGAGCTGTGGGGTGGGGGCCCCTCTCTGTGCCCCCAGCCCAGGAGAGAGGGGGAGCTGTGGGGTGGGGGCCCCTCTCTGTGCCCCCAGCCCAGGAGAGCGGGGGAGATGTGGGGTGGGGGCCCCTCTCTGTGCCCCCAGCCCAGGAGAGCGGGGGAGATGTGGGGTGGGGGCCCCTCTCTGTGCCCCCAGCCCAGGAGAGCGGGGGAGATGTGGGGTGGGGGCCCCTCTCTGTGCCCCCAGCCCAGGAGAGCGGGGGAGATGTGGGGTGGGGGCCCCTCTCTGTGCCCCCAGCCCAGGAGAGCGGGGGAGCTGTGGGGTGGGGGCCCCTCTCTGTGCCCCCAGCCCAGGAGAGAGGGGGAGCTGTGGGGTGGGGGCCCCTCTCTGTGCCCCCAGCCCAGGAGAGCGGGGGAGATGTGGGGTGGGGGCCCCTCTCTGTGCCCCCAGCCCAGGAGAGCGGGGGAGATGTGGGGTGGGGGCCCCTCTCTGTGCCCCCAGCCCAGGAGAGCGGGGGAGATGTGGGGTGGGGGCCCCTCTCTGTGCCCCCAGCCCAGGAGAGCGGGGGAGATGTGGGGTGGGGGCCCCTCTCTGTGCCCCCAGCCCAGGAGAGCGGGGGAGCTGTGGGGTGGGGGCCCCTCTCTGTGCCCCCAGCCCAGGAGAGAGGGGGAGCTGTGGGGTGGGGGCCCCTCTCTGTGCCCCCAGCCCAGGAGAGCGGGGGAGATGTGGGGTGGGGGCCCCTCTCTGTGCCCCCAGCCCAGGAGAGCGGGGGAGATGTGGGGTGGGGGCCCCTCTCTGTGCCCCCAGCCCAGGAGAGCGGGGGAGATGTGGGGTGGGGGCCCCTCTCTGTGCCCCCAGCCCAGGAGAGCGGGGGAGATGTGGGGTGGGGGCCCCTCTCTGTGCCCCCAGCCCAGGAGAGCGGGGGAGCTGTGGGGTGGGGGCCCCTCTCTGTGCCCCCAGCCCAGGAGAGAGGGGGAGCTGTGGGGTGGGGGCCCCTCTCTGTGCCCCCAGCCCAGGAGAGCGGGGGAGATGTGGGGTGGGGGCCCCTCTCTGTGCCCCCAGCCCAGGAGAGCGGGGGAGATGTGGGGTGGGGGCCCCTCTCTGTGCCCCCAGCCCAGGAGAGCGGGGGAGATGTGGGGTGGGGGCCCCTCTCTGTGCCCCCAGCCCAGGAGAGCGGGGGAGATGTGGGGTGGGGGCCCCTCTCTGTGCCCCCAGCCCAGGAGAGCGGGGGAGCTGTGGGGTGGGGGCCCCTCTCTGTGCCCCCAGCCCAGGAGAGAGGGGGAGCTGTGGGGTGGGGGCCCCTCTCTGTGCCCCCAGCCCAGGAGAGCGGGGGAGATGTGGGGTGGGGGCCCCTCTCTGTGCCCCCAGCCCAGGAGAGCGGGGGAGATGTGGGGTGGGGGCCCCTCTCTGTGCCCCCAGCCCAGGAGAGCGGGGGAGATGTGGGGTGGGGGCCCCTCTCTGTGCCCCCAGCCCAGGAGAGCGGGGGAGATGTGGGGTGGGGGCCCCTCTCTGTGCCCCCAGCCCAGGAGAGCGGGGGAGCTGTGGGGTGGGGGCCCCTCTCTGTGCCCCCAGCCCAGGAGAGAGGGGGAGCTGTGGGGTGGGGGCCCCTCTCTGTGCCCCGCTCAGCAGCCCGGCGCACAGCCAGGAGAACTTGCAGTCTGGCCTGTGGTGCCCGCCCACCCTGCTCCAGAGCGGCTGGCCTGCGGGGAGAGCTGTGAGCGCAGCGAGGGGTCACCAGGGAGTGTGGCTGGGGCCCCTCCTTCCTAGAGCCCTGGGGGGGAAGTCTGGGGCACCCAGCACCTTGGAGGACCTGGGGAGGGGACCCCGTGGGGTACACGGGGCTCTGGGTACCAGCCCAGGAGCCCTGCAGCTAAGGGAGCTGTGCCGCCTTCCCTCCCATGCCTTGGGACGCCCCGTCTCCTGGCCCTGCAGCCGCGGTGTTGGGCAGGACCGAGGGGTCGCCGGAACCCAGAGTGCAGCTGGAGAGCTGCTACAGGGCACAGAGCCAGCTCCGTGGGGTGCATAGGGGACGGGGTGCCCCAGCTTGAGGGCATGTTCCCTGCCGCCCAGTCCCATGTGCCACTAATGAAGCATGACCCCTTTGGGGAGCACGCCGGGGCCTGCTAGGCCCATCACCCCCAGGCAGAGGGGGGTTCCTGGCCTCCCCCTCCAGCCCTGCCTGCTCAGCAGGGCGAACGGATGCTACGGCCCCGGGAAGGCTGGTACCGAGGCCGTCCCAGGAGGATCCAGCGCTGCTCCCATTCTCCCCCTCCGCCTGGTGCAGGCCGGGGGGTGCGCAGCCGGCCCCCTCGCTCTCCGGCTCGAAGATGGGATTGCAAAACTCCGTCTGCAAGACAAAGAGCGGGGGGCCCCAGCCATACTCCCTGGTGACTGGGGTGGGAGCATGGGGCAGGAGTGCGAGGGGGGGGGGCTGCAGGG